GGGAAATACTTCAAAGAATCAACAACTTGCATCTCACCTTATTGAAAAGTTTCGGCACATCTAAAGAGATCACCAACAGAGTTAAAAAAAAAAATCACGAATTGGGAAAAAATTTTATCCAGCTGCCCCTCAGACAAAGGACTCCTATCTAGAACATATAAAGAATTAAAAAAAAAATCAGGCCCCCAAATTTCAAAGACCCAATCCAAAAATGGGCATCTGAGATGAACACACACTTCTCAGAGGAAAAAATACTAATGGTGAATAAATACATGAAAAAATGTTCAACATCATTGTTCATTAGAGAAATGCAAATTAAAACAACACTGAGAAAAGAAAGAGTAAATAAAACCCTAAATGTACACTAGATAATAAGAAAGGGAAAGAAATTGCTCAAAGGAAGGAACAACTGGGATGAGGGAAAGAAGAAAAAGAAAGTACTAAGGCATTTTATATGTTAGGGACTGGTGGCATAATTGTCTTGTTGGTGTCTGATGGTTTGTTGAGGGGAAGAGTTAAAGTTTAAAAGTTCTTTTTTAAATATTCTGATCAATTTTGCATGTTTATATCTGGTAATCTGAGCAATTTATGTGATGACAACAATTTGCAGTGTAATATCCATTGGTGAATTCTTACAATCTTGCCTAGTGACACTATGTATTGTCTCTAATGTTCTTTTAAATTATTATTTTCTTATTCCCTTTAATGATTTGATCAATCTTCTATTCTTAAATCGGGTAATCTGAGCAACTTTGTTGAAGATAACAATGTGTAATATAACAGCCACTGTTAATCTGTATCTTTTGTTTGAAACCCTGTACCATGTTTGATGTCCTTGCTTTGTGTTGTTTCTATTTTGCTATTGTTCTCTTTTTTGTACTATTTTCTTTAAAATAAAAAAAGTAAAAAAATACCAAAAAACCCAGACCACATGGATGTCCCAGGTCTGCTACCGGCTAGAGCAGTAGCCAGGCTTCCTTCTGTCTTGGCTGTAAGTGTTGAGTACCTAGATTACTGAGCACTCTGAACCCAATGCTGAGGAGCAAATTGTGCAAGATGCCACCATTTTGGATCATGGTTCTGTGGGACACTCTTCTCAAAGGACAACTTTAAGGCTGCAAAGTATAGAGTCCTGCTGCTTCTTGTGATGCCATCAGGCCATCTTTCCTATTGTCTTCTTCTGAAATACCTTGCTTTTTCTTGCTAGTCTTTTCGGTGATCAATTTCTCCTCTGTTCCGTCTTTATGGGCCACAGATTTATTGGAGCTTCCTTTCTGGCCAAATTCACAATCATTCTGAGTTAATTAAATCCTCCTCTTAATCATTCTGCTGGGCTTCTTGCACTTATTCTCAACATAAACCTGGCTAAAATCTCCCAACAGTAGCCATGCCACAACCTCAACATTAGACTGCCTTGAAATTT